TTAATAAGTTTTCATTATCATAGCATCTGAAACAAAGAAAGCAAGCAATCATGCTGACTTCCTGCCTTATACTATAGTTGTATTGCATTATACAACAATACTATGGCACAATGTGTTTCTACGAAGTCTTCATGCATAAAACCATGATACGTGGAAACATGATGTCAAATCGATTGTACTTCATAAAAACCTTAAGTCTTGCCATGCAATGTATTCTGTTTTCCACTGTTAAACTTCTAAATAAAAGAGACGCCAACTATTGTGTTGTCCCATTCTACTCTGAACTAATGTTCTACCAGGTGTTTGAGGACAGTAAAGTCTTCACCCAGAAAACCTCCATCACCCTGAAGAAGTCAAATGCTTCCTCGTCCTCTGCACGATCTGGGAGTCTGTCTGGAGACGAGGATAAGAAAGGGATGAAGCGCGTCAGCAGATCTTCTCGGACAAGTAGCAGCAGCTATGAGAAGAAGAAGAGAGGTATTATTAATATTCATCAATATTAATTCTTCTTCTTCTTTACTCATGATATTTTTTATTGTAACTCCCAGAGTCCCAGTCCATTCATTTTCTACATAGGTTTCCTTATGTTAAGTGTAACTAATGTTTCCTATCATGTTTCCTAATTTCTGAGTGGTGCAGGTATTTTTCAATGTTACCTGCACCAGAGCAGGTATGCAGGAAAATGTATTTCGGGCCCTGCGTGATAGTATCGAAAATACTTTGTCCATATTCCTTTTTGCCAACACTTTGGTTATTGATATTATGTGCTTTAGGCATTAATTAGAAGGAAGGTATAATTATTTGGTAAAGATATTTGGTAAAATGAAGTAGCATAAAAGAAGAGTTGTCAAGAAGCTAGTTAAGAAAAAGAATATTCCGTTTTACTACATCCTCAGAACACTGCACATCATCATCACCATCAGGTTAGAATATCACCAGTGTTGGTTTGTTGGTTGGTTTGTTAGTTGGTTAATTGGTTGGTTGTTTGGTCATTTTATCAGCGTGATTACTCAAAAGTTATTAACAAATTTATTATTTTTGTTACTTCTGCTTGGGAAAATCTCTTAATCTTTTTTTAAGAATTATTGACTGTGGTAAGATAAAACAATCCCAAATGGCATGTAATAAATTTTTGAATCCTACTCCAAGTTAACAAGTGGTGGTTAAGATATGGAAATGAAATCATGATGGTTTGGAAAAGGGTTAACCCTTTTGGAGTGCTGTGTACCTAATATAATAAATAATTCAAGACCAGATAACACCAGTAACACTGAAATGCAACAGTTCCTGAAAATAGTCAAAGGTGATAGGTATTAACAAAGACATTTGGACAATAATACACTATTCTGATGTTAGGGAACATCGAATCTTGTGAATCATCCTTCTAGTTCATTTGTCAACAGTCAATCCATTTGTCCTATTTTTTCAGACCGCGAAATTTTGCTACTGCAAATATAAAGTGACTTACAGTAAATCACTTTATTTTACACATCAAAAATTAAGAACTGTAAGGATGATTTGCAACATTCGATATTTTCTAACATCAGAAGAATGTATTTTTGTCCAAATGTCTTTGTTCATTGAATAATACCTATCACGTCTGACCATTTTCAGTACTTGTTGTATTTTAGTGTTATTGGTGTCATACCGTCTTCCTGTGTTGGTTGAGAAGTTGCCTGTACTTGCATGATGCTTGTTAACATGAACTAACGCTGACATTACAGAACCTGCACGGCTGGCCCCCAGTGCATTTGCCAAATTCCAGCAAGCTGACGCCATGTCCTCCTCTGCCCCCGCCAAGAAAATTAACATCAAGTTGAGCCGTTCTGTGCGGGATCGAGCCAGCGAGACTGACACCACCATGTCCACTGTCAAACAGGCATGTTTTTTCACTCACCCTCGCTGTTGTTTCAAAATTGTCTCTAACACTTTTTAGAATTAAGATCACAGTCAAACCTGGCCAAGAAGACCACTCAGGGGACCATTAAATCTGGTCTTTGTGAACAGGTGGTCAGTTTGAGTTGAGGTTTCAAAAAGTGGTCACATTGGTCAGCTGGTCCTTATGTAGAGGTGGTCACTTGTATAGGTTTGACCGTATGCCATGTTTAATTTGGAAATCCCTTTTCTGAATGTTTTAACAGAATGTGTAACAATTGATAAAGCTTTACTCCTGCCATAGCCTTTTTGATGCATTCAAAGAGATACTTTATCAGAATTGTGTTAAGTGTACAATTCTTACTTCATATGCTTTCTGTACCTTTTTCCATGGTTTTCATGGAGTAGTGGGTGAGTGTTCAAAATATAATTTTAAGCTGCTTTGTGAACTTGCTTTTAACTTTAAGGGAGTCATCATTTAAAGTGTAACAATCAGTACCCATTATAGGTTATTATCTTCCCAGTTTTAGTAATAGCCATCTTGCAGTTCCTTTGTAAGTTGCTAGGAGCGCACGATTTGTCATTAGTAGAGCTTTGCTCCCCTTGGGGTCATAAATGAAATGATGCTTACCTTGCACCTGTTGCTTGCACGGATTGTGCACTTGTGACTCCTCCCACCCAATTATAAGCGCATGTTCCAGCATAATGTTATTGTACATCTGGTCTTAGTTAGTTCAGTTGTTGTTTTAACTGTATACTGTTTGTGGTTGCCAAAAAATTGTTTTGTGGTGGACGACATCTTTCCTTTGCAATTTGTGTTTTTGTGACGTCTTTGCCATTTGTCATACCTGTATACACGTAAACAGTACAAGTTGTTTTTTCGAAATAGGTAATGAAATCTTTGAGCTCTGATTTGAATTGGCCTCTGTAGTGTTTTGCTTACTTGTGATTGGTCGCACTTGTTTTAAAAAAAGAAACAGAGGACACCTGTCACAAAGGCGTGGCTTCCGCGGATGATTTGATTTGAACACGATACTGGGTGGAAGAGTCTATTCTGTATTTACCGAGGGGGTGTATTTACCGAGATTAGCTTATTAAGTTATTTAAGAAACTTCTGTTTGCAGTACATTCGATGGTTTGTTATGTCATAATAATGCACTTATCATATCAATGGAAGTTGTAATTTTAGTAGAATGCTTAGATTACAATAGAGTATATGTTTAACTTAGAACAATTATTTCTCCACAGTTGTTTTCTTTTCCACCCCTTTCTGAATAGTATGAACTGTGAGCTGACCCTTATTTTCGGTTTGTCCATGATTTGGACATTTCACTACATAAAAAAGGGGTGTTACATCCCAGAATGTATGTATAATGGATGGGTATTAGCTCGATCTCCTGTTCCCATTGGTTAGTCCGTTGTTGAATTTCTCTTGATCATTCAAACATGCAGTCCAGGCGCCGTGGAAGGATTTATCGATTAAACTTAAAGGTAAGTTTTGATGTTACCTCGTCAGGGCTGGAAATGCTGGGTGCATGTGCACCTTAGTGCAGCTAAAATTGGCCTGTGCAGATATTTCGGATGAGGGCCTGCATGCCCTTTTTCATAAGGCCCAATCAGGCCTTTTTAGTCTTCGTAATCCATAGGCAGCCGCCACAAAACATTGTAATTCGTAATCAGTACATTAGCCGTAATGCGTAATTGATCAAAGTCAGCTCTGAGATTTTAACATAATTTGTAATCAGTAGCGAATATTTTTCAGAATTCGTTATCACTACACCCCCCCCCCCTTAATGCCCTCTCTGATGTCTACCTGCACCTAAGGTGTACTCATGACTCCGTTTATATACAAATGTAGGTGTATGTGGATTTTTATTTGTAGCATTGACTGTCACCACTTGGCAAATAATGGCAATGGTTTCAGAACAGTTATTATGATCCATACTTCTCTGTGTGGTGAGTGGTCTGAGTGGTGCAGGTAAAATTTGTCTGGTGCAGGTATCTTAAAATTAAATGTTACCTGCACCAGCACAGATATGCAGAAAATAGTATTTTGAGCCCTGCTAGTCATGGACTTTTTAAGGTTCAAAATGACATAAGGTTGTGCCTTTTGTTTTTGTGGAAGCCAGTTGGGTGTTGTAATGTGCTGAGCCTTAGTTGTGTTTGAATTCTTGCTGACAGTTTTGTTGTGTCTGTCGCCAAGTGCTGCTTCTAATACAGGAAATTAGGCAAGGTTAAACAACTGCTGTGGTTACACCCACTCCCTGAGTTATAGCGGAGTCTTTCAACATTTTAAAAAATCGAGCATACACCCTTGGTTTTCATTGGCGAGGATTGCAACAGAAGGTTACATTGGGAGTGCCAGTGTACCGTTACGGGCAAGGATTACATGCAAATGTAATCGAGCCTGGTGCACTGAAACTGAGCATATCTGAGGTGAGAACAGGGTGTATCATGTTACCTGCAGCTTGGCACAGAGAAAGTGTGTGGCCACTACTTGGGCTGGAATTAGTTGTGCATTTACTAGTTTTGAACTCTGAAGTCCCCAAAACTAATGCGAATAAAAAAATCCACCCCCCTCAAAAAATTTTGCTAAACCACAGGAATACAAAGCTGGTATTGTGAATTTGCGGTAGTAGTACATAGCACATACATTTGTTATACAAAATCCTATATTCATATCCTCATGAAGCCATATGTAAATCCTCAAAAATGTTTATTAAAGTTCAGAAGGAAGATTCTGTGAATAGCTTCATAGTTTACACCAGACTGATTATCGTAGCCCAGACTACTTGCCCATTTTCTGAGTAGTGCTGACGTCAGTGGTGTAAAGCACCCCTTCTCAGGAATGAGTATGGCCCAGTTTCCCACCCATAACATGCCTGTTGTCATATACTGTTTATATACCCTTTGTTTGTCATGGTCTTAATTTCTGCCGATCAATAGCTGCCTGTGAAATGTTATTGTCAAATGTCTTAAGACCTGTAGGTAAATCAAACTCTTTTTAGGAAAGGACTACCTCTGGCACTATTCATGCTTGATAGCCCTCCCTTGTTCTCTATTGTCTTGGTGCCTGTGTGCCCGGCACAAAAACTCAACATTCACGGGCACTGATTGAATCAGGGGTAACGGTCAGTCAAAGGCCCTTCACTCCGCCACTCGGGAAACAATGCGAGCCGAGGCAGCCGCGAAGAAAATGACGGGGCAAACATACAACCCGTTTGCCATCATTTGCTGCGGGACTAAGAGGAAGTTACGAATGTTCAGCGACAAGGTAAACTTTCAAACAGCTTTTCTCACAAGTTTTGACACGTTTGCGGCTGGTTGAGAAGTACATGTAAGTCCTGAAAACTGCCGTGTGAAACTACCAGAAGTTGAAGGTCACTTTTCTGTTTGGAGGGCCCTGTTGTTGTAGTGAAACTTTTGGTGATTCTGTTTGAGAAATGGACTCGGCTAAAGGAATCCGATATGAATAGCTTTTACTGTGAATGTGTGTGGTAGCTTTGAAGAAATTCCTGAGCCATTTTCGTCTGAACCTTTGCCCCATGTGTTTACTCAAAACAGAAGGCAATCAAACACTATAGGTCATGACCACACCCAATACCTGTATGTCTGGGGAAAAGAAAACTTAATATATTTATCCTTGAAAAATGTGGTCTTTTCTTCTCAACACTGATAGAATCAGTACAAGTTTCTGCGGGGGAGTAGGTAGGTTTTCTTGGTTTGCATACGAACCGTATCGGAAATATCCGTGACTCAGGAGACACAAATTCTACTCCTTTGTTTCCACTGGGGCAGGATATCTACTGGCAACAGTGCTCATAAATGCGGGGTATAGAAATGTTGTAACCTAAGCCGTCACTTTGGGGCACTTGAGTATTGATGGAGTGCATTTTGTAATCGCCTTGTTAAATATGGTACCACGTACATGTATAGAAAAACGGAGTATTCAAGTACGGCTAATCTTCCTTAAAACATGGCGTAACACAGGTGTGAAACGAAAGAAAGGAGTGTTTTAATGCACGGTCTATTCGCAACACTAATGTTTCCTTTGAATGTTACACGAAATAGTGTTAATTTATTATGTTTCATTATAAGGACGTAATCAAATTATGGTTCCTGTCAAGTACGCAGATGACTTAACGAACTCGGAACTTCTTATGGGATCACTACCAGGTCAAATGCAAGTAGCCATAAATGAAGTCGACACTTGGGCTAAGTCCTACAGTATGGCAGCAAACGTAGGAAAAACCAAAGACATGGTTATTAGCTGTCGTAGGGAGTCTGTGATTCCCCCTCCACTCACGCTCAACGGAGAGACTATAGAGAGAGTTCCTGCATTCAAACTTCTAGGGGTGATCGTCAGTAACGACCTGTCGTGGGGTGCACACGTTGAATACATGTTGTCCAAGGTCCGACCTCGCCTTCACTACTTGCGACTGTCCAAACGAGCGGGGCTTCCAGTAGACGTTCTGTTACAAATTTACAAGACATTTGTTAGACCAGTGCTGGAATACGGATCACTAGTGTGGGGAGGGTTACCTCGCGGGTTGGCTGACGAGCTCGAGAAAGTACAGAAAATCTGCTGCAGAATCATTGGAATCCCTTCCGGTCAACTGTCGACCCTGGAGGAGCGGAGACGTGG